CATTGTGTAGTTGATGATGAAATATCTTGACTCTATATTGGTGTTATTTAAATAGACTTGGTAAGCCAAGAAACCCCCTCAAAGATAGTATTCTGGGGACCAGTATGGGAGGGGTTTGGGCCTCTAGCAATGTAGCTATTATGTCATGAGAAGAGAGATTCCCTGCAGGCCCCAGATGCAGATTTTTGCTGCCAATTTAATACTGCACTTTAGGAAATTTAAAAGTGAAGCAGGAGGAAAAAAACAAAAAACAAAAAAACACCCCCACAAACCAAACGCTTTTCCAGCTCTCATGGGCTTTGCTACATAAAGCTGCATTATGTATGCCAAACTCTGTATCTGCTCTGCAGCACCATCTAGTGATACAATTGAGGTGCAATTGTGCATCAAAGCATATAATGCTTAGCACCATTTCACTGAATGTTTAGGATAAAAGCAAGATAAAAATTATATGCAGGTAATACAAGTATTTACTAAACTCTCAAGAACACGTTAACTGTATCACTAAACTGTAGTAAGAATGAATGTTTAGATCTGTGAAATTCAAGTCCTCTGGTTCAGAGGTTATTTAGCAGCTAGTCACATGCAGCAGAACAAGACTGAAGGCAGCACCACAGCCAAGTGCTACGAAATAATTATTAGAAACAGAAAAAAGAGGAAGGTCCAGCTTTCCCATATCAGGGAGCAGCTGGCCCTTTTTCGAGCAGACATTCAACATCAGTTTAATACAACGGAGCAATTCTGGCATGGAGGACCAAGTTACTTGCAAATATTGCTAGGCAAATCTTCCCTAATAAGTTCCCCCTACTCACAAAAACTCAGCAGCTGTAAACATGCCATAGGTGTGATGAGTTAAATGAGAGAGAAAATATGAACCCTGTTTTTTTCTATCCAATCTCACTGTGGAACGGGCTGCCCTTCATGTCAGGAACAAATCTCTGAAGTTGGGAACAGAAATTAAAGCAGAGCTGGTAGTTCCAATCACACCATCCTGGTGGTAAAGACAGCAGATATGAAGCAGCTTTGGAAAGGCCTGACAAGTAGATGTTAGAGGAAGGAAGGTGGGGGTATGAACTCCTTCTCAGTATAATTCCACAGCACCAAGACAGCATGAACAAGTCCCAGCCAGCTGGTTGTGCACCTCAAAAAGAAGGAATTATGACACTTGAACATGCAGAAATTCAAAAGCCATTTTAGTACCGAGATGATGCAGGCAATCAATCCTATTCTGGCAGCCTGAGATTCCCCTCTGATAAAGAATTTTAAAAAATGTATTTCATTTTTTATTCTTTAAAGGGAAAGGGACATACACACATAAAATCTAAAACCAAATACATTTCACAGGAATTCCATGTATTCAATATTAATTTAAAAAGGCACAGGACATCCCAGGGTGCTGACCACTTAAAACAGGCTCCAGGTAAATCTTAAAGAGCTGACATTCTGATTTGTTCCATAAGAGAGCATTTTCTTGTATCAGAAACAAGACATTACATATTGCCATCAAAAACCTCATTTTACATGCATTAATTTTCTGCATATTAGAGTTCTATAATTCTTTCTGAAACTTATACAAGACACTACAAATTAGTCCCTGGTGTAGAAATTTACCAAGGAATTGCTTTCTGCCTTCCTCTTCTGGGTAGTACATCCATCATCTTTTTATTTCAGATTTTCCAATCCTGCTACCCATAGTACTGCACTTAGGTAGTGTAGTTGGATATTCTTTTTAATACTGAAACATCATCTGCATAAGGTACTGCATCATATTCTTAATGAATTGTTCTTAACCCAGATAAGAACGTTTGCTTCAAATACATCATGTAGCCAAGAAAAGGAACAAAATATGAGGGGGGAAAAAGTTAGTTAGGAGCCAGTCTAACCTAACCTTGGCTTAGGGTCCAGAAAAGAAAGCCTAACAGTCAAGTCTACAAACTGCTGAATATCACACAATTTATACTACCTTTGAACAAAGGCTATCTGTAAAATTGTTTCTAACCTGCGAACTAAAATCTTTGAATTCCAACTTAGTTTGCTACACATGCAAATTAAATATAATCATTTTATTACCTTTAAAACACAGTTCAAGTCATCATGAAGCAGCTGGAAGTAACTATTAGAAGCACATGGAGAATAAATTCTGGTATTAATGAAAACTGTGCAGCAAGGAGTGCTCACGTGTAGAGCTAAGAAGAATTCCCCCCACCTCAGGAACTGATGAGGGAAACTGTATGGTTCCTGTAGAACAGGAGGTCTGAGCAGATAATCATAAATGGTCCCCCATCTGGCTTTTAAGTAGTTTTTTTTTAATTAACCTTGATCTCATCGCTACAAAGTTAATTTTTACAATTTTTTTCTTTCCTTTTCTGTTATTCTGGGTCATTGTGTGACCTTAGAAACACCACCAAGGTCAGTTATTATAGGAGAAACTATTTTTTTTTGTTAATGTGAAGTAAAAAGCAAAGAAAAAAATAATACTGACAAGAGAGGCAAATCTTATGAATGGGACCAGAGGGATGATTAAGATTGAAACTGAACAGTTTATGCAGCACTAAGACTCCTCAGGCCCCTACTGTTCCCAAAAGTTTGGCTTTTTAATCCATCAGAAAGCTGAATTTCCTATAAGGTCATGACGAAGTCTTGTCGCACATACTATAGTTTACATCTTGAAACCCTCTCCAGGCACAGTGTGCTAGGAACAAATCTTTGTTCTTAATTCCATATGTAAAAAGCCTTGAAGACTCTCTCACTAAAATTGGATGGCTAACCTGCTATAAGCCTCCCTGGCACAGAGCAGATTGGCCTGGGAGCACTAGACAGGGAGCAGATGGCAGAGGATCAGAATGGCATTTGGGGAGGGCACAGGCTTAAATTTGTGGCATGCCTGTGAAAAAAGATATCCACACTTCTCTAAACTGTCATAGTAGTCTTGCAGTTCTGGGGGACCCATGATCCTCGTCTGTTAGCTAGGGCAGTTACGTGCTGCTGACAGATTGGAGTAAGCGTGAACTGTCAAACTATGGCAAACTTATCACTAAGTCAAACTGCTGTTGAACTACAGCAAACCAAAAAAAAAAATAGTACACTCTCGTGGTGCACCAGAAGCAGTACAAGGACACCCTAAAGAGTTTCAGCACTGACCCGGGAACAAACTGCTTGCGACCATCCATCCTGGAGGTCACTAATCCAGAATGGATCACTGGCCTTCAAACAGCAATGCACGGCAGAAGCAAAGGAAGATGAAAACCTCTCATACCCGGTCCTCATCACTTTCCTGCCCCTGCTGCAGCAGATTGTTCAAGGCAAAGATGGGGCTTATAAGTAACCGTCTATAAACTCACTGGGGGGGGACCAGAAGGGTTTGGGACACCCTTGTTTCCCCTAGCGCCCCCTGGCATAACAAGGAATAATGGCCATAAGTTGTTGGAGAGTAGGTTTAGATTAGACATCCGTAAGAACTACTTCACAGTCAGGGTGGCTAGGATCTGGAACCAACTTCCAAGGCAAGTGGTGCTGGCTCCTACCCTGGGGGTCTTTAAGAAGAGGCTTGATGCCTACCTGGCTGGAGTCATTTGAGCCCAGTTTTTCTCCTGCCCAGGCAAGGTGTCAAACTTGAAGATCTACAAGGTCCCTTCCAACCCTACTTCTATGATTCTATGAAGTCACCTATGTACCCAGGCAACCTACCTTCCACCCCTGTCCTTTCTCTTTCCTCTCTCTCTTTTCTCCCTTTTCCATTTTTTCTCCTTTTCTCTTTTCTCCCTCCCTGTTTCTTTCACATTTCTTCCCCCTGATGCAGTCACCTTCGCCCACAAATGACAAATGTCAATACCTATTACAGAAAGTAATAATTTGTGAATGCTTTGTAAATAACAGAGCCTTATCAGAGTAGCTACAGTTACATTACTATTTTTTTATATTCTTCAACCTGTATATGTAGATAAATCAAGTTAAAAATAACCTACTGCAGTTGGCTGTTAGCTTTGTAGGGTATAACTCAGGCTCTACAGTCATGAAACAGTGTCTTTCAACAGAAACATGGTTTTCAAGCAGAGAGAATGTTGCAAAAGTACAGACATTTCACAAAACTGTCCAGGAATTCCTGATATGCAAAAAGCAGTTTTCCATATTCTGCAGTACATAAGTCACTGAACTGCTATGCAAGTACAATTTTATGGCAACTTATTACAGATTTCTACTCTTGTGGGTCCACGCCTATATTAAGTCACTAGGGCCAGAAAAAATGCACTGCTACATGTGTATAATTAGCGTAAGTGCACACAGACAATGACTTGTGAACACACACAAAGGTAAAAAAAAAAAAAAA